GACATAGATGAGTTAAAAGCATTTAACAAATATTCTAACAAAATGTTGTTCATAGTAAACATGCGATGATCATTTTTATTCCACTTGGATTTCTCCAAAATGGGCACAATATAAGCATCATCTATAATTTCCCATAAATCAAAATGTTTAGATCTAACAAATAGTTTAAATCTAACACACCATTGGGCATAGGGGAAATTGTCTAATCTAGGAGCAACACTAGAATCATAGCCTAAACAAGATGCATCATTCATATCCATAATTTGTAAAAATATGCAAGCAAGATACAAATGCAATCAAAACAAGATTAGCACAAAAATATAACTTGGATCTTTAACTCAAGGCGATTAGACCTTAAATCAAAGAGCACCAAGCTCTGATACCAATTGTTAGACCCTAGAGGGGGGGTGATTAGGGTCTTATGCTAATCTAATCCGATTTAAATGCCAATTAAAACTAATTAATAAGTTATCCTAGCAAGTATGAAATACAACAAGAATATAAGCTAGGATAAGCAATATGAACAATGAGATATATCCTATATGATAGAGATATATGCAAGGATATATAAACAACACAAGGGTAAATAATCTAAACAAGATAGTGGATGAAATAGATAATGAGCTAATGACAATGGCGATATAAGATATGAACATAAATATGAATGAACGCCAAAGCACACTCAAACAAGCAATATGATCACGGAGTTCGGACCTTCCGTCCTACGTCTCCGCTCCCCACTCCCGGGGAGAAATCCACTATCAACCGGGTTTTCTACGTTCACCCGAATAACGTTTACACCTCACAGTATCGGTTTTCAACGCTCACCGATCAACGTCACTCCTCACACTCGGTTTCTAGCTCACCGAAAACCTCACTACACACTCGGTTTCTAGCTCACCGAAAACCTTACAACACTCACAATGTAACAAATATAAATTTGTTCTCTACAATAGATGAGAACACAATGAAAGCACAACTCAAAGTTACAATCTCTCACCACCCAACTATACTATGTATGAAAGATACAATAAGCTCAATGTGGGTGTGTGTGTAACAATGAGTAAATAAGATCAAATCAACTAAACTCAAGTATGAAATCTAGCTTAAGAACAATGATAATCAATCAAGTATATAAATGTAAAGCTAGAGTTTGAGTTTAGAAAACTTCTCAATTTGATAACAAGAGATGGAGGGATGATAGTTGGAAGCTCAAACTTCAATAGATAATCTCCTCAAGCTCTTGTGGAATTTGATTCACCAAAACAAACTCTCAATTTGCTTAAAAGCTTTTTAAACACACTTAAACCAAACTAAAACCCTTGTTAAAAACTTTATTAAACTTGATTAAAAACTCTCTTGGTTAGTTTTAGAGTTGAAGGCAATGGGGTACTTATACCCTCTCTCAACTCAGCCAAAAACCTGAGCAAAAGACAAAACACAGCCCCAATGCAACGGTCAAAAAACTAGCCGTTGGAAGCTGAACTGGACGGCGTCGGTCGACCGAAAATTTCGTCGGTCGACCGAAAATTTTCATCGGTCGACCGGACCGGTCGACCGACAGCTATCTGTCAGCCCAGTGAACTTTTGACCTCAGGTTCGGTCGACCGGTACGGTCGACCGAAATCTGATACATGAAAATCTGTTTTTGAAAACTGTTTTTCTGATTTTAAAACCCTGTTTAAAAATATCAAATAAATTCCAAAAAATGTAAAACTTTGGGGAATGATTGTAGACATGATAATAAACATGCTACAACGACTGGTTTCGAAAAAGGACTTCCCAAATGAAAAATATCATCATTTTACAAACTAGTCCAAAACATGAAAATATGAGATACTTGAATTTTGATGTTTTGACATAAACCAACTTTTGAAACTTTGTGAAATGTTTTTGTAGACTTAGTAAAACATGTATAAACTGATATTGAAGTCTATAAACTAAGAATACAGTATTTTCACAAATACAATAGAAAATGAAACCTATGAGTATGTATATGAAAATATATTTGTTTCATATCTATGTAGATAAACCAAATCACAATAATAAATATGAAACATGTAATTTCATATTTATAAACATGAAAACCAAAACTTGTGTTGTATATATATGTGACTATATATATATACGAAGAAACCAATAAATGTGTGTGTATAGATAATTGAGCTTAGAGTATATAACACACATAATATAAATCCTAAACTAAATTACCCAAGCTAGATCTTGATCTTCAATAAGCTCTTCTAGGTAATCTCGCGGATGAAGCTATAACTTGGATCTTGAACTTTGAATAGCAAGGCTTCACATTCCGCTAACCCCCTTTGGATATGATCGTTGAAGCTCTATTCCATCCATCCTCCAACTACGTTGTTTGTCTACAATAAATACGAAAACACAAATACTAGACAAACAACATTAGTGGTAAATTGTTTGTTAAACATCATCAAAACAAGAAGGCCAACATTCTTGACTTGCTATTGTGCCCAAAAACTTATGATATGAGTAGATATATGTGAAAAAACAGTCTTATATCTTTCCTCTCATTACCTAGTTATTGATCTAGATCGACATTCGCAATAGTTTAATGGATTGCAATAAAGAACATTGACATAGAAGAGAAATTTTTTATAATAAACCTAATAACTCAAGTTCAAAAATTTCTTACTTAGCAAATAACTTATTCTAATTAGTTTTTGAAATGCTAGTTTATTGACTCAAATTTATAATTAATTAGTTTTAGCATAATTTCACTGAAAGAATAGCTAATTTTAGGTTCATAAATTTCAATAAAAAATGTTATGATATAATAACTAAGAAGCTAAAATAGATCGCGAATGCAAGACATCAAATCATTCTTCGTCAATCAAATCAACATTCAATTTCAAAGATTAAACAACAAATCAAATTCTTCTAATTAATATTAAAAAAAGGATATAAAAAAGATTTGGCGCACGCATAAAATATTTTATAAGGGAAGGTAGTTTGTGATTTGACCAAAAAATGTCCACAATTTGTCCCTAGAATTGGAGAATACAAGTATGCATAAAATATTCTATGCGATGCGATAATTTATGATTTAATCAAAAACCGGCTAAAATCATGAAAATTTAAAAAATTTGGCGCGCACATAAAATATTTTATAAGGGAAGGTAGTTTGTGATTTGACAAAAAAAATGGCCACAATTATGGTCTCCGCATAAATATTCTATACAAGGCGACACTCGCTGAAAATCAGGTACGATCATGAGCTATAGTCAACAAAATTTTAGAAATTTTACTATTTTAGAGTATGCATAACATATTCTACGTTGATGGTAACTTGTGATTTCATTAAAAAACGGCTAAAAACATGTGTTATAATTTATAAAAATCCAGCAATTTTGAATTACACATAAAAAAAATTATGCAAAATGGAGAACTAGAGATTTGGTCAAAAGTAGTCAAAACTTTGGGCTATAGTTCAAAAGAATTGGAAATTTTGGACCGTGCAAAAAAAATCTATGTTGGATGGCAATTTATTATTTGGTTAAAAGCAGACAAATTATGGATCATAAGTACCCAAAAAATTCAAAATTTTTGGAGTATACATAAAATATTTTTAGCATTATGTTAATTTGTGATTTCAATGAAAATGGCCAGAATCACGGATTATGGCATACTAAAAATTTTCCAAGTTTGCACAATATTCTTTACGTGTCATGGCAGCTTGTGATTTGATCTAAATCTAAAATGATAAAAATTATAGGTTACAACCTACGGAAACTCGAGAATTTGAGTATACATTAAATATTCTATGTGGGATAAAGGTTTGTGACTTTGTCAAAAATGACTAAATCATTAGTTAAGTTTGGAGCCTAGATATATTTGATAAAGAATGCCAATTTGTGATCTGATGGAAAAAAAAGTGCAAAATCATGGGTTATACTCCACCAAATTTTAGAAATTTAGAACACACATAAAATAGCACATGCAGGAAGATAGTTTATGATCTGGTCGAAATCAACAATGATCATGGGTTATACACCATATAAAAGTTTGAGAATTTTGAAGAACGCTTGATATACTATATGCATGATGACAATTTGTTATTTGTTGAAAATGACCAGAATCATAAGTTGTAGTCCACATATTCGACCATATTACACATATAAAAATTCGTCGCTCATGGCTCATAGTCCACATAAAATCGTAAATTCTGGAAAGGCAAAATATTCTATCTCGGATGACAACTTGTTATTTGGTAACAGAAAAAAAAAAGAACATGAAATTTGGAAGTTTTGCAGTAAAGCATAAGCATCAACTTAATTACAAACAACTAATAATTATTTACAAAGAACATCTAATCCAATCATAATTGCATATAAACCCCTTGTGGTATTGTTGTTTCGAACTTGCTACCCCTGCATTTTATTATTATTCCGAACATATTCCCGCATCAAATTTTTTTCTCTCACTCTTTTGCGTGAGAGAGTCAAAACAATTTAACCCAAGGGGTCACTCCGCAATAATGAAACTACAAAGGTGGTGAGTTCAGGACCAGCATCAGTCAACGGCCCTCCGCGTGCAATCAACCCTATATTTCCCTCAAAAAGAGCCCCCTGTAATATTTGTTTTCAGAAACGCTAGTGAAATTACTTTCTCCCCTCTTCCTCCGTTTCTCCTTCGTCTTCCTTCCCCTTTCAAAATTTTTTTTTTCACGAATAGAATTGAGTTGAGAGTTGAAAATAATTGCTCACCAAGCTTTCATTAAGGAGAGGGAATTAAAAAGAAGATTAAAAAAAACACATGGTTGAATCTCAAAAGGTCAACAAATTACCTGCTAAGAATGAAGAGGAACATTAAAGAGAAGACTGTCGCTAAATTTTAATTAAAGTCAAACAAGGTGGCTTGTTTTCTCCTTCCGAGCTTCAACCGTGTCAAAGTTTTATACAGCTACGAGAATTAAATAGTCAGCAGGCTGCTTTAAATTGAAATCAAATACACATTTGACCATGTACAAGGATAAACAAGTGGAAACTGATATTTAAATTTAAATTAAAAAAAAGAGACAAATACATCCAGAATTACATGCTGATCACCTCAAAACAATGAATCATAACAATAGCTGAAATAATAATAATAATATAACACGCCAGCACATCCGCTCTCCAACACCGCTGATGTATATACAAACACTTCCCAACTGCCCCCAAATATAGAACCCTACAAAACTGCTGGCAGCTGCCCAAACCATCAGCCACCGAATCATCCAACCATAAAGAGTAATTAAGGGTAGCTGCACCCCTCCAAACACTTAATAGCTGGTGCCTTACTAAAGTGATGTAATCCAAGCCACCAGCTATGCTCTGGATTGTTCTTGATGATTCAGATCGTAAAGGTCTAATGTGTCATGTCAGCAACATACCAGCCAAGAATGTATAGGTGCAAGCCAATCCCCGCGGGCGACTGCCCCTCCGGGCATTTAGTTGGTGCGTTATTAATGTGGCACAGTCCAAGCCACCAACTGTGTTCCAAATATGCTAATAATTTAGACAATGAAGATCCAAATGGGTCGTATCAGTAACACACCGGCCCCGGCTAAGTGTAGACACGGACGCACCAACCCCCTCTTCACTCTGACCATCAATTATTTACATAGAACGCTTTTCATCATCATCATCATCAACAAGCTTCTCAGTTCCCACCATCAGCAACACGCCAGCCAAGCATATATCGGGACTAACCAAACCCCGTTTCTCGAACATATATTATTAAGTAGAAATTATTTTTCATCATCATCAAACTCCTCAGTTCCCACCATTATCAACATTATCCAACCAGCTCTTCAAGTTACACAATGCCTCTGTTGACAAACTACAGCACCTCAGCCCCGGCAAGCCCTTCCGCTGATGGTCCAAGGGCCGGTCAGAACTCAATGACTCATCACCGATCTCTGAAGAAAAGCAAACCACGATCACCGTCAGATTGTCAAAAGTATTAAGCGTCAACGCCTCCATCACCAACTCCCTCGCACATTGCTCGGGATTATCATGCCTTCTTAAACCCCTACGAACTATGCTCACTGCATGTTGGCTCGACATGACATCCCAAATCCCATCACATCCAATGATTAGGAACTCGTCGTCGTCAGTTAGTAATGTTTGCTTAAACTCAGGTTCGGAGATTAAGGGAGAGGATGAGCCTCGAGGGAGTTTCACGTCCCAGTCTCCTAGAGCTCGGCTTACTGAGAGGACTCCGTTGAGATAGCCATCATCAATATAACCACCAGAGGATTCGACACGCTCACGCTCTGGGGTGTAGATTGGCCTGTGGTCTTGTGACATCTCGATTGCTGTGCCTTTTCGACATAGAACTGCTCGACAATCTCCAGCATTTGCTACTAATAGAAGCCTGAACAAAACGCAAAGCAGAACACAATGTATGTATATAAAGCATCTAACAATAAAGTTATAACAGCACAAGTGAGGTGAGGAACACAAGGAAAAAAAAGGGAATAGGAATGTACAACTTTGAAAAATTATACTAGCCAAGAACATACTAGCAAACTAAAGTAACATGTATTGCTTATTGTAAAATCTAGATCACAGTATGAAAGTCGATGGATTCAAATAATCCACAAACATACAAATTGAAAATGATCGAATTACTCATTTGTATTATCTAACCATAAAAAGAAATAACAAAAACAAAATGAATGTCGATGCCATTTTGAAAAGGAGACAAATCCCTGAGTGATGTCTAGACTCGGTCATCATACAAAGAAATGAGAAAGGGTAATGGGAAATAAAAAATTTTGTGTACAGTTTGAACTGATAGAACTTTCTTGTAAGGGAACAATGAGTCATTCAAAATATCTATTTCAAAATATTAATGAACATTTGCAACTAGTATATGAGAAAATTTATACCTTCCAAAAACCAATGCTGTGAGTGCCGTGGTCCCAGATGAAGTGCTAATGGTGCAATCATCAGCCAAAGCATGATCAGCGAGAAAGAATGTCCTCCGGATGGAACTCTCAACTGATTCTACAAAGACTTTATCAGCTTCTGATGCTTGCGGGAAGTCAGGATCTTCGAAGAATAACCTGATGGCATGTCTCTTGATGTAAGCTGCTGCGTCCGGACCTCCATGGCCATCAAAAACCTGCTCAAAGTGAGAAAAGTCAGCTACTGATAAAAGAAGCAGCAGGGCTTGAAGATGAATACTGATATCAGGTGGTGACTAACTATTACCCCATAGAAGGCACTGGGTGTTGGGCATGTGAAGGGAGAGCCAAGATGAGCAGAGAGATCATCAATGCAAATGTGTTCATCTTCCATGTATCTCCGAGGACCAATGTCAGAGAAACTACCAGACCGGATGCTAGGTATAAACTCGATAGGCTCCAACAAAACATCTGCCGCTGCATCTGAGGCTCTCAGAACCTGTGAAGAAACAAAAGTATAGATCATAATGAGTCTCTAGGCTAGCAAAACAATCAAACTTTGTCATGTCAGGTTCTATTGTACAAGGAGATAATGGAATACTATAATTAATAAGGCAATATAAACGTCAATACTTACAGTAAGTATAAATAAAGTTTTGAACACATTCACGGCACTTTTTAACTTACATCTGAAAATTGAACATCAAATTAATAAACATATTTAATTCTTACCCCGCTGATGATAACAAGGTTAAACAACAGTCAACCAAAGCAATGAAATTTGTAACCCTTCAAAATTGACCATAGCAACTGGAAATTTCACAGTGGAAGAATAATTCCTAAACCCAAAATCCATACTCGTTCCCACAAATTTTAAAATTAACCGCAAAGGAGCTAGTAGCTTATCAAAGGAATTAATACCACAGTAATAGAAACCTAGCATTAAAACAAGAAAACATTAATATCAGTTTTGCAATAAGTCCAGATGTATACTTACTTCCAAAAATATCAACTGAAAACTACTGGGCATATCCAAAGGGAAAAAAGATGTCATAATAAAGAAGCAAACCAAATTAATGAGCAAATTTACTTCGTATCCTGCTCAAAAGATTAAAGAGACCAAAACAATAAATAAAAAAAATCATTTCTTTTTAAATCAAGAAGCTGATTAGCACTTAACTAACTATAGAACCTGGAAATTTCACAGTAGAAGAAAAAAAAATCCTAAGTTCAAAATCAATAATCATTCAGGCAAAATTTCCACCTTGTTCTTCTAAAGGATCAAAACAGCCCACAAAGCCACCTAAACACGAAAAAAAAAACTAATTTTCCCAAAAAGAGAGGGGGAGATGCCTAAAACTGCCAGTAAATAAAACTTTAAAAAAAACCCTAATTTTCCAAGACAAACGCAATTCGATCAGATCAAATCACGAAACAGAGATCGACCACAAACTCACCAGCTCGGATGCAGCACCGATGATCTCCCGCGACGGAGGCGGCGAATCCGCCGCCGCCGTGACGTCGACGACCTCCTCGATCCCTCTCACAACGCATCGACACTTCACATCGAGCACCGAGATGCTCTGATGAACCACCTCCGCTCCCGCCACCATCTCTGGAAACCCTAACCTCGTCTTGAACTGGTACCGAATCGATCGAATTCGAAGATTAATAAAGAGCAGAAATTGGAGTTGTTGTATCTGGGCTTCTAGGGTTCGTAGGCGGTTTCCGTAATTATTTTTGTTGTTTCCTTTTTCGGAATTTTTGTTGTATCTGGGAGTTTTTGAGAGATTTTAAAAGGGAAAAATATCTATGGGCGGCCCGTTTAATATTTATATTAGGAAATGTGTGCTGGTGACTGGCGGCTACCGGGTCGGTTTAGGCTAGAAGCGGGTCGGGTTAGATTTGGGTTCTTTTAACATCCGAAAGTATAGTTTGATTCTCATATTGATTGGACTTGAGGAGTTTCCCCACGTAATAGTATGTTTACGTAACTGGGTTTAGTACCACTAAGAAAACCATCCTTATAAATGTTTTTCGCATAAAAACAAGCAAAATTGACCCGCATGATGCCGCAACATCAATGTGAAAAAAAAAAGTCAAAAATGTAGTTAAAGTATTTTGGTCTGAAAGTACATCATACACCTAATACTTTGAACAAAATAACAAGTTAAAGCAAAATATAGCATCTTCCCGATATGCTAGATCCAATGTGACTTGGAAAATGTGTGGCTTGAAGGTGTAGAGCTGAAAAAAATTTTCAACAAAATGAGTGACTTTAAATATAATGGTTAAAATATTTAGTTATATCGTACACCTAACCATTTAGAAAAAATAAATAAGTATGAATATGAGTGGACTCAAAGAAATGGAAGGAACTTTGGGCTTAGAGGAAAAAAAAACAAAAAACAAATCTTTATGAATTAAATTTCTGGTTCAAAAACACATTGTAGCTGACCACTTAATTAGTACAAAAATATAACGAAACGTTGAAATACTAAATAGATTTAGAAATAAGATTGAGTGTTTGGTGCATAATAGTGAATTTGGAAATGAATAAAGATAAATAGTATGACTTTAAATTTAGAACAAAAATATACAATGTTATAATGAAATATAGAAACTCTCATATAATGAACTAGTGAAAATGTAAAGTGAGTTTAATATTTATTCAAATGAGTATTTTGGGTCTCAAATTTGATCTTGGATGTGGGTAAAGTGTTATGGTAGAATCCTTGCAATGCCTAACCACTTAGAACAAAACTTTCCATGTTACAGTAAAAAATAACAACTTACATGTACAAAAATTCGCCACAATATTTTGTATTTAGAGAGGAAAAATCTTTGGAAAATGGGTGAATTAAAAATTTTGAGCATAAAAACTTTAGCTCATAGGAAAAAAACTCATCCACTGTTTGTGCCGCATTGCAACAATGTGGGGGGAAAACCCCCTAAAAGTAATGTTTAAGTATTTGGTTTAAAACATTGCACACCTAGATTCTTAGAAAAGAGATATAGAAAGTCAAAGTAGAATGTAACAGCCTAAACCATATGTCAAGCTATTAGACATTGAGCTTAAAATTAGTCCGATGTAGTTTCTTGAGTCTAAGAGTGAGTTTAGAAGTACGTGAGTTTAAAAACAAATAGATCTACGGCTTTAGATTTATTTAAGAAAAAAACTCTTCCTAAAAGTGAGCCGGTTTTAAAATAAATAAGAAGAAAATTTATAGGCAAACCAATCTATCTGCAGTTACAAGGCCTGGCGTTTACTTTGATTGTCCTGGGCTCTGGGAAAGGGAACCCCTATTTGGGCTGCACTGGGCCGCATAAGGAACCCGGGTAACTCTGAGAATAGGCCCCTGGTACTAAGGTGAAGCCCCCTCACGTGAGATGCGCGATGTGTGCTGCTCGTTAGTCCCATATTTTGGGTCTTTAAGTCATTTGAACGCAAGGACACCATAATTTTTTAAAGTAAAAACCCCTCTTCAAATAGGATCTTTCATTTATTTACTTATTTATTTGTTTATTTATTTATTTTTGAAAAGCAAAGGATCGGACGTTGAGAAGATCAAGCGTACGAGTCTATTACCATTACTCAACTTGGTTGTACATATACAACTCCAAAAGTACAGACTAAAAGTATGGAAAACACTACAGGCACACTCCCAACCATACCTTGGGGCACACCCCCTCTCTCAGCTACAGTGCATGGGGCCCACTTTAGATTTTTTAAAAATCTAAAATGGGCCCCGTGCACTGTAGCTGAGAGAGGGGGTGCGCCCCAAGGTGTGGTTGGTGGTGTGCTTGTAATGTCACTCGTTGATATTGTCATCCATCTGACTCAGAATAAAAATCCCATTTATAGATTTTGTCCTGACACACAACCCCCTGTACAAGTCGATATTCATTCTTGCCAGCTCTTTTCTTATAATATTTTTACACAGGGAAACTTTTCTGTTAAATAACGAATAATATTATAAATTTACATATAATCTAATTACTTACTCAAGAATAAATATCTCGCTGAATAGTGTTAGGATAATATAACCCCCGGTTCTTACCGTAACTTCCGAGTTTTGGTGAACGACTTCAAAACGGTATCTAAGCAATCCGGATTCAAATCCGCCAACCACAAATTAAAAAAAAATAGATTTAGTTTTTAAAAAATTAACACTGAGTCTCCCGAGAAGATCAAAATTTCTTAGATAGGGAACAAATGATTATAATCTGCTTATCGATTCAAGAATAAATGTAAAAAACGACGTTACCTAAGAAAGAGCATAAAAATGGTCTGTGCAATTTTCGCATGAACTGAAAAGATCAAGAGCGGGATATTTTCGGTGAAATTTATGATTTATGATTTTAGGGGGTTTTCTGATAACTCCTTAAAAAAAACCCTCTAAGTTAAAGGGGGTTTCTGATATTTAGCAGCATACTTTAGATTATGCAGCTCGCGGTATTGACAAGTTGACTTTGATCCTGTGCAATTTGTGTTAAAAACAAAAAACACACATTTTTAAAGACCCGAAGCGGCCGCAGTTTGTTTATCATTGACGATGAGCGCACAGAAATGAATGAGGCGAGGAACCGTTGGCTCCCAAAGTTTTTAATTAATAAGTTAAATTATTCAAGGACGTGAGTGGGTAGCTCTAAGAAACTATAGAATTATTATTTTTAATTATTTCACAAGATTGCCGTGATTTTGATGCTTTGATGTGCTATTGTTGGCGTATTACCATTTGTTCCAAATTTTATGAAGGTCTCACCAATCGCTTTCGAGTTCTTTTCTATAGGTTATTTCCCAAATGGCTAGTTGGTTACATAAATCTAGATTTTTAGGATGCAATTTAAACCACCAACTATTCATTTTATTTTTTAATATGGAACTATTCAAGGCAAAATTACATTTTCTCAATAACATAGCTACCCCCCACCCCACCCAAAAATAAAGGCAATATTTGTTTGAAAACACAAAGATCAATAAATAAATCAATAAATCACAAAACAAATATAGGTTGGGCAACGTTTCGTATTGTAAATTCGGGAGAGGTAGCTTTCAACTTTGAATATTTCCTTAGTAAGTTTGTCGCCACCTGAGGGACATAATGGACTAGACCTTGAATTAGGCCCATTTAACCAGGTATTAACGAAAACACACATACACAATACGTATTCATCTATTGAGCAAAGCGGGTTGAGCGTTAAAGGTAATGCTCACAATAAGCCGACTCATGAGAGTTTCTTTATGTTATATAAGCTATGCACTCCAAATTATTGTTTCTTTTATAGAGTTAAAAATTTTGAATACGAGCATCTAACATTTTGCTCTCACAATAACAAAATCCACTTAGCAGATGTGGATATTCCAGACGGGTTATATGTCCCATATACAATAAAATTGCTTAGACAAGTGAGGTACAATAGCATTTTTAATTCACATTGTTTGGGCCAAGATTTGATAAGGACCTTGCATCAAAGAATTTTTGATATTTAGCTATAAAATTGAATATGAGTGAAACTATAACTAAAAGCTAATGTGAATATGAGTCAAACCACAAGTAAAAGTTTAATGAACATATTGTAAGTAAATTCATAATCACAAGTAAAATTGAATGAACATATTGTAAGTAAATTCATATGCAAAAATTCTTCACGAATTAAATGATTACCTAGCTTTTGAAGACTTCAAGATACTAATAAATAGAGATATTATACTAGATCAATGTGTTTATAACTAACAAATAGTATATCACGTGGTCACGATCTGGGTTGAAGAAAACAATAACAATATTTCATTTGAGAGTGAGATTATTGAGTTGATCAATCTCATAAAAAACTTTATTTTTAATTCTACTTTTTATCAATTTAAATAATCATAAAATTTAACCACGTGCATTGCCCGAGCATCTCAGTTAGTATTATTAAATGTGAGACTACACTCAAACATAAACATCCAATAATTTTTAATCAAAGGCTTGAAGTAGCCGCAGGTGTTTATTATTCACATTTGAGTGCACATAATGAGTGGGTCAAGGAACAAAGTTCTTAATTAAATTATTTAAGAATGCGAGTCACGCTGAGAAATGATTCAATAATTACTCTCTCGTAACCAAGAGGAAAGGTGATATTCTATTTTAGTAGCAAAAGAAAGGATACGATTCAATAAATTTAGGAAAATGATAGGAGCACACCCACAACCACAACCTTATCTACACCCCCTCTCTCATTTGCTACAGTGCACCGGGCTCCACATGAGATTTTAAATTTTTAAAATCTCATGTGAGGCCCTGTGCACTGTAGCAAATGAGAGAGGGGGTGTGATTGAGGTTATGGTTGGGGGTGTGCCCCTAGTGTCACCCATAAATTTATGAGTGTTGCTACGGGCACCCCAAAATATGAGACTAATGGAGGGGACAAGTGAGGTGTCCCCTCCCTATTGCGTAATGAGTTGGTCATGCCAACTCATTATGCAATAGGGAGTGGACATCTCACATGTCCCCTCCCTTGGTCCCATATTTTGGGTCCTTAAGTCATTTTCCTAAATTTATTTCACAAGGTTGCTGTGATGTTGATCATCCAAGTTCCTTAACCTTATCCTTGATGTACTACTATTGGCATATTATCATTTGTTCTAATTTTCATGGATTCATTGATTGCTTTCATGTTCTTTTCTTTTGATTGTTTCCAAAATGGATAGTCTATCATTTTATAAAAAAAATGGGTAGCTGGTTATAATCTATATTTTTAATTAATTTGAGGTGCCTAGGTCAAATTACATTATGAC